TCTTAGACAGCACGATCCTATAGAAATTTTCCTCAATTCATCCTATATTTAATTTATTAGTGGAATATAATTTACCTGATATTGGTTCTTTATAGATAGGGTTAACTTTATTTCTAGTTAATTTAGTTCTTTTTCCCTCCATGTAATTGGAAATTCTTTTAATCAGGCCTTTTTCTCGGTCTTCAGGATATTAATATTTAATATCTCTGACTTTGAAGCATTTATTTTTAACTAGTTAATTCTCCGTAATATTTTAACATTTTCATTAAATTAGGAAGTGTTAATCTGGGATTTGCAACGTAGGACAACATATCATCTGTATACGCCGTAAACTTGGTGTTCCACGTCTCCTATCTGGATTCCTTTTACGTCTACACTATTTCGTACTGTCGCTAATAACGGTTCTAATGATATAACAAATAACAGGGAGGAGAGTGGACATCCCTGTCTTGTTCCGTTATACATTTTAAAAATTGTGACAGTGAACCATTGACCTTTACAGCTGCTGATGGATGACTATATAACTTTTTTATCCACTGTGCCATTTTAGGTCCTATTCCTAGCACCTTCAATGTGTCCATCATAAATGCCCTATCCACCCTGCTTTTTCAGCATCTATCGACAAGACTAACACATGGGAATTTGTTGGGACTTTCTTACTCTTTTGTAGGAGGAGCAACGATCTTAACCAATTGTCTCTTCCTTCTCTTCCTGGAATGAACCCCACTTGATCTGAACGTATCCATTCTGGCATTAAATCTTTCATCCTAGTTGCTTGGACTTTTGCATATAGTTTCATGTCAGAATTTAATAGTGATATAAGTCTATAACTGGCATATTGGGACTAATCTTTCCCTTCTTTAGATATAATTGTAATATATGCTTGCAACGCCTCCTCCCTTATTTCCATCCCTTCACCTAATGCATTTATATATATACACATTTTCGGGATAAGTTGTTCTTTAAATTTCCTATAGTATATCACTGTATTACCGCCTGATCCAGCACTTCTGCCTGTTGCAGTACTCTTCAATGCAGCTTGAATTTCTTCCTGAGATACTTCTTTTTCTAAAGCTAATAATCTTTCTTCTTCCAATCTAGGTAGTCTAGCTTCTTTTAAATATATCCGACTTTTTCTAGTTCTTTCCCCTTCTGTTTTTATCAAGTTCCTAGGTTTTACATCATATAACCTACTGCAGTATTTTTGAAATGTCTTAGCAATATCAGTGGTTGAATATACCATTTCTCCTGTCTCATCTCTGATATTTTTCTATAAAATTAATCGATTTCTACTCCATTAATTTTCTCTTTAAATATTTCTCTGGTCTGTTCCTCCACTGATATCTCTCCTTTGCTACCATGTTGAAAGTTTTTCTCATTTCCTGTTCCATTAAATCCTTTAACTCCTCTTTTCTCAAAATTATCTTCTGTTGTATATCCATTTCTTTTCTTCTTTTTATGTAGTTGTTCTAGTTCAGTTTTTTTGTTAATACCCTTATTTTCTTCCACCGTTCTTTCTTTTTTTCAGCCCCTATGGAAATCAGGATTCCCCTTTTATATATGCCTTATGTGCCTCCCACACTGTAGCAATCGAAACCCCTTCGGTCTCATTTAACATAAAATACTGTTCTATTTCCTTCTTTATTCTTTTTTCCATCTCTGGATCCTGTAAGAGTGTCTTGTTTAATTTCCACATATTTATCTTATTTCGCTCCCCACCTAATTGTAACCTCATTGTGACAGGTGCATGGTCTAATAATGACATTACTTCAATATTAGATTTAACCAGAGACTCCAAGAGTCTATGTTCTATCATTATATAGTCCAATCTTGAATACATCTCATGCGCAGGAGAATAGAAAGTATAATCTCTTTCTCTTGGATGTTTTAATTCTCCAGGCGTCTGACAATTGACATTGAAACAACATCCTTTTAATAGACTTAAGATGTTTACCTCCCTCTCTTTGCGCTCGTGACAATGTATCCATCCCAGGATCCATGCAAAAATTTTAATCTCCTGCCACAATCAGTTTACCCGTCTTAAAATCCATTGGTTTTTTTTTTTGAATGTATTCTCCAAATATACCATTGGATTTTGTATTAGGGCAGTAAATATTAGCTAATGTACATTCTAATTCTTGTAATTTTCCTCTTAAAAACAAAAATTGACCCTCTGGATCTACCAATCTATCCTCCATCTTAAATCTTACAATTTTTGCTAGGCCTATTGCTACTCCTTTTGTTCGTTTTATGGGCGAGTCAGCATAATACCAGGTTGGGTACTATTTAGAATATAACTTAACATTTGTATCTTGAGATATATGTGTCTCTTGTAAAAAACACTACTTCAATAGAATATTGATCCAATTCCCTAAGAATCTTATGTCTTTGAACTGGAGTATTCAGTCCTTTCACATTATAGGTCATAAAGTTAACCGAGTTAATTCTTTCCATTGTATCTTTTCTCCATCTGAGTGAGGTGCAGGTATATGTATTTTGGAAGATGGTATTATCAACATACTCCTCACTTCCCATCCCTCCCAACCACACCACACCTCCTCCCTCTCCCTCCCCCTTTTCACCCCATCCCTTCTATCCCTACCACACCCAATTCTTAAAACCCTCTGGCTCTTATCTAGCCCTTGAATTAATTGTTGTTCCAGCCCCACTGTTGGTTCTTTTCCAGGGTGAGACTCAGGGCACATACACCAATCAGGACCCCTACCCCCACTCCTTCGGTCTCAGGGGCATGTTAGACCTCCCAGTTTCCCACCTTGACCCCAGAATTCTCAACCTACTTTCCTCCGAATTCTTCCCTACCCTATCATATCCTCTCCTTGTCTTTATATTGATCAGCTCTCCCCCCACTCCCCCACCATCACCATCCCTACGGGGCGGGAAGTAGAGAGAAGGAAAAGCAAGAGGAAGAGGAGAGAGAAAGAAAAAGAAAAAAAGGAGAAAGGGAAAGGCAATCTCAGCTGCAATACCTTACTCTCCCCTCTCTTACCCTCCCAACTACTGCTACTCATCTTATCTCTGTTGTACTCTATTTTTTGAGACTGTTTGCCACCTCTCTTTTTCTAAATCCATGCTTTCCCCATCCCCCCAACCAGTCTGGAATATCCATTATCTGCAAGTCTAGTTTTTCGCAAATGTCCCGCAACTTTTCTGGGAATCTTAATCTTGCAGAGTGTCCATCTTTCCATCCAATCAAGCACACTGGAAAACCCCAGTTGTATCGAATGTTTATTTTCCTCATCTGCTCCAATAATGGTTTCAGGGATCTTCTTCTGGCCAGAGTCTCTGGTACTATATCTTCAAATATTTGTAGCATCACTTCTCAATATTTTATTGCTGGAATCCCTCTCATCTTCTTCCATATGTTTACTTTATCTTCATAATAATGGACAGGGCTACTGATAAGGGGGTACGGGCCCTGTCACTTTGACAGAGGGGTCCCGCAACCTGGCAGCTCCAGGTTTTTACCTACTTAGTATAGCAGCCAATAGTACTGCTTATCTAAGCATGGGGGAGGGACAAGACAAATACACTGCCCTGACTGCAGCGACAGTTGCTCCTCCTCCCACCCATCCTTAGCCAATCAGCAAACATTAACGCCACCCCCTTCCCCAGCCCACCACATTTGACACTATATGCTGGTTGCTGGAGTGGGGCTGAATGGGGGCGCCAGGAGGAGGAGACACAAAAAACCTGAAGCCCAGGAGCTACAATAAGAAGGTACGGTCAGAAAACAACTGTGTCACTGCTCACTTGTAATGCCGACCAATCTTATCAGTGTGTTCAGGCAGCGCGCAAGTTACACAGGATACATACATGCCTCCCCTCTGTCTTGTCTGACTCTGTACTCTTCTTTTTTTTAATAACTGCCTAATCTAACCTGCACCTGAACACACTGATAAGATCTGCTGGCATTACAAAGTGATCAGTGACACATCTTGGACACATTGATGTTGGCCTTTGGAGGATTTACTGCTGGTTAGGGCTAGCAGCTTCACAGATTCATTAACTGTTTACTGTCCTGCACTGATCTTGACCAGTTGTCTGTTTTATTAGGCTCCATGCACACTGAGCGTTTTGATAACAATGGTAACGTTAGCTGTGTAAAGTCATGTTCAGCTTTTTGTTTAGCATATTTGCATTAGCATTTAGCAGAGTTTTCCTGCGTTTGCAGTTTTTGTGTTTTTTCACCAAAAAAATATTTTTTGGGGGTCAAAAAAAGTCCAAAAACGCCAGTTTGCGACGTTTTACTGCGTTTTTGCAGTTTTTTTTACAGCTAAAAAACGTCCCAGCCAAATAACATTGATTACAGTCTATGTGTGCATTGACACATAGGATAACATGCTGGGGGGTTTACTGGCTGTAGAAAAAAACATCAAAAGCCAAAAACAGCAGCTGAAAAAAATCGTCCAGTGTGCATGAGGACTAAGACTGGAAGATTGGAAGTACTGGTGCCTTCTGTCACCTGTTGTACTTTGTAAAGAGGATTTATGATTTGATCTTGCAGAGCTGGTTTAAGTAGAGTTGAGCAGTCCTGCAATATTATACACTTTTACACTGGGTTCAGGCATCATTGCACAAATGCAGTCTCTGACAGTCTCCTGTACTATATATGCAGTCTCTGACAGTCTCCTGTACTCTTAGATTGTAAGCGCCAAGGAGCAGGGCCTTCCTAACACTCTTGTATTGATCTGTATTGTTGCTGTATTGTCCCCCTTTATATTGTAAAGCGCTGCTCAAAATGCTGGTGCTATATAAATCCTGTATAATATTAATGATAATAGTAATAATATCTGTAGTACCCAGTAGTATGTCTGCAGTCTCTGACCCTCTCCTGTAGTATGTCTGCTGTTCTCCTGTACCATCTCTGCAGTCTCTGACTGTCTCCTGTGCCATGTCTGCAGTCTCTGACCATCTCCTGTACCAAGTTTGCAGTCTCTGACTGTCTCCTGTACCCTGTCTGTAGTCTCTGACCATCCCCTGTACCATGTCTGCAGTCTCTGAACGTCCCCTGTACCACATTTGTAGTCTCTAACCATCTCCTGTAGTATGTCTGCAGTCTCTAACCATCTCCTGTATTATGTCTGCAGTCTCTAACTGTCTCCTGTAGTATGCCTGCAGTCTCCAACCATCTCCTGTATTATGTCTGCAGTCTCCAACCATCTTCTGTAGTATTTCTGCAGTCTCTGACTGTCTCCTGTATTATATCTGCATCCTCGCAGTCTACAGAGGGATTATCTGTAGAGAATTCTCACAAAAGGTACAGTGAGATCAAAGTGCGCACACACCTTTCCCCCATGCCATGCCCTGCTGTTGCCCATGATGAATTGCACAGTCAGCAGCCAAATTTTATATCATCATCATCACACAGTACATGGGGTTTTGAGCCACAGCACCTGTATTGTGTGATTATCATGATGATGATAATAGAAGGACAGTGAAATGCATTTTGCATTGGCTACATTCACACCAGCATTTAGGACCGGTGAAATTGTAGGTGCAGTTCCTCCTGTGGCTCTCAGCCAGTGGGTACGGTTGCTGGCCCCGTTCTCTATAATGAGAGGTCACTGGTGGTCTGCATTTTGTTTTTAGTAAGGGGAGGGGCTAGGGGTGGGGTCAAGGGCAGGGTCAAAGGAGGGCCCCATCAGTTGTTCTGTTACCAGCTTGTTGATTACTGGATTAAGCACTTTCTTCATTATGTCCATCGAATCTTCTCCTTGAGATGCTTCTGGCAGACCCCAGATCCTCAAATTATTCCTACTATCCCTATTTTCTTGATCCTACAACTTGTAAGATAATTTCCTTTGTTCCCTCGCATTTCTTCCATTTGCCCTTTCAATTTGATTAATATTTGGATATGTTTATCTAATTTTTCTTCTGTTTCTTCAACTTGTAACAGTACTTGACCCAGGTCATTGTGTAATATAGCCATCTCATTCTTTATGGAGTGTTCTAACGCCACAAACATTTCTGCTATTTCCATTTTTGTGGGCATTTGTGACCAAGCTTCTTGTTCTTTTATATTTTCTTTTTCTATTTCACTTTCTATATTTAATGTTTCTTTAGACTGGCTCAGGTTCCATATTCCCAGTGATGTTCTAGTTTGGCCTCCTATGTTGTTCTTACATTCATGTCTTCCCCTTTCTCCTTGTTGTCTCCTAGGGGTTTGTCCTTCTGGGCTTTTTTTTCTGCGGAGGCATGCATTTTCTTATTGTACTCGTATTTAATTGAGGTGTCTTCAAACCTCCCCCTTTTACAGATCTGTTCTTCATTTTTTAGATGTTATATTTCAAATTTTATAGTTCACAACAGTGTATTATTTCCAATGTTCCAGAAGTTAGATCTATATTTGACTACAGATATTCTTATCGTCATCTATGGGATATATGAAATATTTCTCAGTTTTCTGTTATATATCCCTTCCGGTTTTTGCCCTTTGATGAGAGATCTCGGGCTCCATAACTGACTTATCAAGGTGTCTTTCTCATTCTTTTCCTCCTCTTCCCTCCTCCTTCAGTTATAATTCTTTTCCTTTGGTCAGTACTTTCTCTTCCCTCTCCCTACCTCCTCCACTCCTCTTCTAAACCCACAGGATGACCCCTCATATATTTTCCTTCTCTTTGAGAGTTCCTATCACCGACCACCCATGTTTCTGCTCAGCCTCAGTTCCACATGTGAGATATATTAATAGACTTTGACAGGTGTAGGAAGTGTAAACTTTTGAAAGACTCACCACTTTCCACAGTTCCTCTCCACCACCTCCTTTTGTCTTCCCAGCTTCACTGCCCCATTACAGCCACTGGCAGTTATGTGGCCCCTGTAATATGAAGTACTGTCCTCAGATTTTAACCCTTCTCTCAACCAGGGGTCTTATTGCTGAGGTAGTCTCAGTGACAGTCATGGGTGATCCTGGGGGTCCCCTCCTGCGGGCATCTGTCACAGCATTCTCTGCTGCCACCACGTGAGCGCCCCCAAGAGTCACCACCTCGATCTCCCCGACACCACCCTCCTCCTCTCCTGCAGGGAACCAAGCACCGGAGCTCCTAGCCCCCGTCTCCAAACCCACCACACCAAGCAAGGGGCAACACAGCAGGATAGGGAAGGGTAGGATCCTCTCTTAATTTAGATTCTGGTGGGTCTTGGGAGCTCCTATTTCATGCGCCCTGTCAGTGTCATACTCAGGCCCCTCCCCTCCTGCCCATAGATGGTTTGAATGTTGAATGGTTAAGCAGGAACTGGCCAAGATTTGATCCATATATGGGCAGGCTGATTGTATCTAAGTTGATCCATCCTGTGGTTGCAGAAAAGAAAATTGCATAATCTATGGCCTGCCTTATGCTCTCCTGCCCACCGAACAGAAAACTTTCTGCATCGATTCTGTTTTTTCTCCTCAAAGAACCGCTTGTGCTGATCCGCCAGTCAGTCACCCCTCTTGCAGATGCAGCCCCCAGTAATGTGGGTCATGCTTATGTGATATATGTAGTACTGATGAATACTGTGGGTCGCCCATGTTACTGTACATTGTATTTGTACCTGTATCTCTAGTGTTACTGAGATTGCTAGTTTATGAGTATCTGGAACTGTTACCCCCAAATGTGTGCTGCGGCTACTATAGCCATTGTACTAGTGCTATTGATTGCAGATTGTCATTTGCCTTGTTAACTGTTTCCCTGCAACTCTACAATAGAAGAACCCTTCAACCCTTTTTCTGGATTCTGTGAGTTTTTCCTCCAATTTGGGTTCCAACTTCCTAGCTCCACCCAAAAGTATTATTTAATAAGTTAATTGCTTTGCTGCCCTACTTTATATTAAGCATTTCTGTACTTACGCCATTGTCAGTTTTAATTGCTGACATCCATATTAACTTATAAAAAAAAATGAAAAGCCTGTATTGTTATGATAGATCATTGAGTATTCAAAGTATCCTATTACTGCTTTCTGAAGTGTTCTGTGATTTATTCTGATGACCTGACATTACATATATAGGTGTTTTATCTCTGTTTGATCAGTACAGATATCTCTTTTTGGAGGTGAGGATAGATCTGACACTACTTTCTTTTAATCAGGTTTTTATGACAAGAAGCTTAAGACATGCACAGATTTAAACATCTTTTGAAAGCACCATTAAAAAACAGAAAAGAGTGTTAAAAAAAGAACACTTGCAGCACATGCGAAGTATTTAAGATGCAGAATTAGAACTACAAGGCTTTGACAGCTGTACTATTGTAAATATTTTCAACACAGAATTACATTTTAATCTGTGAATTTGTGAATACTGTACTGCAACAGGGGAAGCAAGGACCCTTGTTTTACCACAACCCAGTCTTTTCCTATAAATGTAAGATATATAGGATATCCTACAGGATACATTGGTGTTTACAGGTGTTTTAGAAAAGGAGTGTATACAGGCTGAAAAAAACCATTGTCAGCATGTTCAGGAGAGAAGCATTTGGACAGAAAAAATGCTGAACGCACATAAACGCTAGGCACATTTATGCACATTCATACCTATGCATGTTAATGTGTTCTAATGACTAGAGTAAATTATTAATCTGGCCAAAAAAGTGCATTAATGCCTTACTTGAAAAAAAAAAAGAATACATTAGTGCTCATATTTATGAATGAGCATACACGCAAGTGCAATACGCGGCTTTTACCACTTTTTTAGGCAGCTTTTCTCGTCCCAGTGTTTCTGCAGCAGTTAGTGTAGCTAAATCTGCAAGTGCATCTAACACTCCTTTCCCCCACATTAACAACGCTGCTGCCCAAAAGTGTCTTTGTAGCTCCTTCATTCAGTGTAGGCACCCTAATACAGGAAGTGTGTTACTGTGTGTTTTCAAGATCACAGGTGAAAACAGAGGAAAAAAAGCCTAAAAAAAAAATGAATGCAGCAATACATTACATTTTGGTTTTCACTGTTATACCGCTTTAATTGCAAAAATGTTGGGAGTCATCCCATGGAGTATTTCCTGGGCAGAAATCCCCTTTTTTTCACAAACTTAAGTGAAGTTATGAGCGATCATAGATCTTGCAGAAGGTCCTTCCTTCCTAGTGTTCAACAGCGAGTCCCTCAAGACTTGAACTTCAACATCCGTGCAGTTAAAGACAACAACTGGGCAAAAGGGTGGTAAACTGATCCTTGGTATAGAACATCTGGTGGATCTGGAAGAGCCGATTGGGTGTCTGCCAATTTCTCATTAGGTTTGAGTACCACATCTGCCAGGGCCAGTTTGGAGTTATGAGGATTACTTAAATTCTCTCCATTTTGATCCTGCAAAATAGATAAGGAAGACATTTCAGATGAGAAAGGGATCAGGCTGCACAGATCCTGTCAGGAATGGACTCGCCAATAGTGGTGGGACTCACCTGCCTTGTGGGCTGCAATACCAGGGCTGGCCAGCGGGTGCTCTCAACAATCAGAGGCTCATTTCGGCAATTAGCCATCACCTGGGGCTGATTGCAGGTGGTGTATTTAAGGGATGGCCAGACCTGCAGTCTGTGCCTTGTTGTACTGTTTGCTTGGCCCTGGTTTCCTGATCCTGTTTCTGCTGTCCTGACGCTGCCTGAACTCTGCCTGTACTGACCTCGGCTAGTCCTGACCACTCTCCCGCCTGCTCCTGGTACTCCGTTTGCCCGTTTGCTACTGACCTGGCCTGCCTGACTACTCTTGTATTGTATGTTTGTTATCTGTTGGAGGTTTGGTTCAGTTTGTTTGCACTGTGTTATGTTTAGTTTTGCACTGCGTTTGTATTGTTAGTCTTAATAAATTATATTATTTACTATATCTGAAGCCTACGTTTCCCTGTGTCAGTCCACACACTTCTGGTCACACCCGCATCCCTGACAGATCCTATGGTGCCACCATAGCACCCATTGTGAACAGCGGACAAGACTGGAAATGGAGCTCTGCCCAGGTCAGAATTCCTTCTATTTTTTTCTACAGAAAGATTTCTGGTTCCTACCTGATAGTTCACATATGCAAAGGGACAAAGGGAAGGATTTCCCCAACTTCACAACTGAATGTTTGAGTGACCAGGCCATGAATAACCTCCTCTTCAGTGTCAGGTGTATTAGTTTTTCCAGATACTGAACCATTTTTTTCCCACAAGGCCAGAATGTTAAGTTGTAGGGTACTGACTTGGAAATAGGCAGAGAGAACTGCCTTGAAGGAGATTACCATGAGTCATATAATTCTTTTACAAAATCTTAAGAGTCGAATGGCTCCTGGATTGCAAGGTACAAATTTGGGAGTGGAGAGTTAGAAGTTTTTCTTGAGGAAGAAAATTCCTGGCCTGACTTATATCCAGTGTGAGACCCAGATACTTCAGTTGGGAGTCAGTTCCAGTGCTGATTCCTGAAGGTTCAGGATCCAACTCTCCTGGTCTGGAACTGATCTAGACTGTCCAAAGTACATTGGATATGTACTGACTGTTCCCTCAAGAGGGGATTATCCAGATGTCCAACTAAAGGGATGCTTTGAGATCATAACAGGGCCAACACAGGCTATAGAACCCTAATGAAAATGTAGGGTGCTGAGGACAGTCCACAATTTAAGGCTACAGACCTGTAATGTTGGGCACCTATAGCCCCTCTAGGAAAACAGAGGTAGTGTTGATGTACTGTAAAGATGGGGACATGTAAGTTTTTTTAATTTCTTCATTTATAGTGACAGCATGAACAAAATAATGTGTAATTCAGATAACTGATCATCAATCCAGATTAATAAAATACATAGGTCATAGGATGCCAAATGAGACAATTTTACAATGTTGTAATTGTAATGACATAATCAATAGAGTTTCCCCAAGGGCAGGACCCTATTTAATTAGTCTGTTGGTAAATTTTAGAAAATATAGAAAAAATGGAAAAGCACGTGGCATTAGGGGAGAAATTATAGGAACCCCACCAATTTTGCCATAAGCTATGGAAGAATAGAGGGGGAGAGGAGGGGAAGAGAAGGGAGAGAGAGAAGAAAAAAAATTCTGGTCTACAGTGTCCCTGGCTATACAGAGCTAGGCTGTACTTATCGAAGAATTTGAACTGGATCCAGTAAAACCACGTCTAATGGTAAATGGCCTATTGTTTCCACAAATGCACATCTTTGATGTTCACAGAACCCATAAAGAATGCCCACTTTTGTTTTTGGGACAGTGAAAAGGTTGCAGTCAAACAACGATGAATAATGGCAATGTCTGCTGACCTGTGCAGAGACATAGGCATGAGGAACAAAATTAAGCAGGTCTGGGGGAGAGTACAGAACTCTAAACTGTTTGTCCAGTACCCATGCATTTGAGTTGCTTTCTGTCCAGTTATCTGGGAAGAATAAAGCTGGATATACACACATCGAAATTTGGCAGGTGCAGCAGAAACTGGATGAATTTCAATATGTGTCTATCCCTCTCTGTTCAACAGAAGCCAGTTTATTGGTCCTGCTGGAGCCAATGGCTGCAGTGCTGATCTGTGTATTCTGACGGGATCAGAATACAATAGCGTAGCGGGGAGATCCCTGCATCCACATCCACTTTCAAGGATGCAGGAATCTGAGTTTTACTTAGTTAAATGGTTGAATAAATAAAGCTCTATGTGTTTACCCTCCTTATCAGATGTCTCCCCACTCTGAAAAGTAGGGGCATCCCTTTATGCTAAAAAGGACTTACTGCAGGCTTGGGTTAGGAATTTGAGGCCCAAGACTTTTAGTTGAATTGGGCTCATGGATTGGGTCTGGGTTTAGAAGCTGATGCCTGAGAGACAAGAAAATAACTCCTCTTTGCTTCACTACGTGGAGGAGGTTTTTTCATGTTGAGGCTTTGGTTTCTTATGCAGGGATTATTGGGCACTTTTATCTTCAGTGACACCCTTGAAATTATCCAGAGAGGAGCTAATCAGACTTTCCCTTGGAAAGTCATGCAAAGTAAACTCTTCTTCTATGTCTGTTGTGCAGACCAATAATTCAGCCAGAGTCATCTGCTCATTCATGAAGATAACACTCTTTTTTGGAAAATAGATGAGTGATGTTGAATAAGCTATCAACATAGTAGTGCAGGGCAGATGGCATAAACTCTAATCAGTACATTGCCAAAGGATCAGTGAGGACAGCAGCTGGATCCTGGGACATGAGTTTAATCCATTCCCCTAAGATTTTACATGCTGACATCACAGCAATAGTAGGCTGCATAGAAGCACCTGCCAATGAAAACAGGGATTTTGAAAGAACTTCCAAATATTTTTCAGCTGAATCCTTAAACACAGAGGCACTCTAAACAGCCACAGTCAGTGTTTTGTTGAAGCAAGAAATTACCAAGCCCAAAGAAGGAACAACCCATTTTTTAATGAATTATTCCTCATATTTAGGAGGAGTGAAAGCTTGTTTGTAATAAAGAATGGACCAGAAAAGTTTTAAATAATTTTGGACATTGGAGAGATGCCAGTAAACCAATAACAGCCCCTGTGGATGCAACAGGCATCTATTTTTACAGAGTCCCTCACTGTTCCAAAAAGAACCAACATGGTATCTATAAGCCTGGGAGTAATGGGAGTTGACAGCTGTTCTTCAGGAGCGGGCTTATTCAAAAGACATTTTTGAGACTCTTTGTCATACATGTCTTCAACAAAAGTGGGTTCAGACTCGCCAATGACTGCAAAAGCATCAGATAAAGATTTTGATGGGAAAGGCACAGAAAGGCTTTTGCAGCCTTTATGCTCAGACCCCATAATTATTGTGGGAACTTGTTAATACAGTTCAGTATGGTTGTGGGGAACTCCCTTCTTGGTTGGGCAGAGGAGGGGGTTAAAACTGATGGAGCTAAGGTGGCATAGAGGAGTCTTTACAAAGCAAAGGACAATGATCCAGGCTGTTGATGTCAGGGCCCTGAGATGGAACAGTACAGGCAAGGGGTGGACTTACAACTCATGGGGCCCCCAGGCAATAGGGGATCATGGGGCCCCTGTGCCCTTGTCCACACTCAAATCACACCCAAAAAAGCCTATGAAAGGTACCAGGGGCATCTCATGGGCCTCCTACTGACCCCGGGCCCTCGGGCAGTGCCCGAGTTCCCCAATGGTCAGTCCACCCTGGTACAGGCAGCCCCAGAGCTGTTAGTGAATCTTAAGCTAGAGAAACCCTCAGTAGTGGGACGGCTTCTCTTATGCTTGGGATCCAACATACTGTGCTGCTAACAGTAGTGCTGAATGGAGAATGCTACGGTAAGATGCCTTTGGTACTCACAACAACTAATTTTCTATAAAGCAGGAGGGGCTAATGGTTGGAAGGGACCAGAACAGGTTACCTCCCTGCCCACAGCTTGTGACTGGATAATTGATGAGAAGCAGTAGGTTAATGAGCTAATCCCTCTGCTCTCTCATTCTATCAGTGAGTTCCTAGTCATCACTTGGTGCTTAGTCCTCAGTACTACCCTCACCTTTTCCAGTTCTATATTGTATTCTAAGCATTAAAAGAGTCTTATCTCAAGTCATATTTTGATACAAGCACTAGTTGCAATAGGGAGGTTATCATTTATTAATGTTTTTATCGAAAATTCACACAATTGTCATCCAGGATTCACACATTTATGTAACTGAATCTTATGAGAAAATGTTTGAATCTCCAGTAAACATATAGTGAATCTTGGGTTAAAATGTTGATAAAAAGACCCCTTATTGATGTTTAATCAAAACATTATTGCATTATTTGGTCATTTTTGTATACATACCTGGATTTGCTTTAATGTTCATAATTTTCCTCAAAATTAAGGTTATTGTAGTGCATCAGAATTCCTCCAAACATTGTGTTTTTGTTATTAAGCCTGGGTTTACACTTGTGCAGTGCGGCATATCACATACGATTCTCCTGTGCAATCACATGCAAATCTTGTGCAGTGCGATTTGAGCCATACATTTTGTATGGCTCAAATCACACAGCATCCGCACCAAAAAGGTGCAGGACCATTTTTTGGTCCGCACTAGGATCGGATTGCATGGGTATTCACACCTATGCGATCCGATTCTGCACATCGCACTGCGATTTGTGGACTGATTTCTGAGTGTTGTTACCTTAACATACACACCCGTTTGGTTCGCATAAACGGTGCGATTGTGATGTGGTGTGGAATTTGCACAGAAACAGCTTCAAATTCCTCATTGCATCAGTGTGAACCCGGGCTAAAAGCATACATTCAAAGAGGCACATTGTAAATAAGGCATCATACACATAATTTTAAGAATATTTAACCACTTCCCGTCCGGCCCATGTAGATAAACGGCCGGACGGGAGCAGTGCCAAAGCAGGTTGCCGTTTATAAATAGCCCCCGCATTCACTGCCTGTGTGCGCTCCCTGGGAGGACACAGCAGAACACCGATCACTGTACAGGACCTCTGTGCGAGGTCCCGATTCATGTGATCACTGATTGGCCAATCAGTGATTACATACAGAGTAGTAAGCAAGATGTCACTTCCTGACATCATTGCTTACTACGTGTGAAATCTGTGAATGATCGCAGAGGTCACATGGTACAAGGCTATTCACAACAGCCTTGTACCATGTGATAAGCTGTGACCAATCACAGCTCTCACAGTATTTCTCAATGGCTGCAAGAATGCAGACAGAGAGAAAGAGAAATGATTGTTTTTACATCCTTTATGGATGTAAAAGCAATCAGTGTAAAAAAAGAAAAAAAAATCTTCATCACCCCCCACAAGTAGTACAGTGTCACTATGGTGACACTGTACTGCTAGGGTGACGGTATGTTATAAAACAAAAAAAAAAATATGGTAAATAATAATATAGAAAAATAAAATAAAAATGTAAAAAAAAATTAGAAAAATTTTAATTTTTGGGTATAAACTAATTTGGGTTACTTTTTTTTGTTTTAATAAAAAGATAGCTGATTACATTTTGGCCAAGATTTATGAAGAAATATTGTTTATTTGCTAAATTTTGTAAGAAAAACACTTACTTTCCAAAATGGTTGGACTTTTTCATTTATAAAGCAAAAAAATAAAAATCCCAGTGGTGAATAAATACCACCAAAATAAAGCTTTATCAGTCTCAAGAAATGCTAAAAAAGTCATCTGGGTACAGTGTTGCATGACCGTGCAATTGTCATTCAAAGTGTGATAGCACTGAAAGCTGAAAATTGGCCTGGACAGGAAGGGGGTGATAGTGTCCAGACTTGAAGTGGTTAACATACAGCATAACTCATTCAGAGAAGAAAAAACTTTTCTGTACCATTATGCAGTTTTGTAGTGTTGTATCAAACTACTGAAACTTATTACAATATTTAATACCTGTTTGTAAGAGTGAAGTTGAGTGCTGACGGGTCTATATGGTTATGCAATTTACATGCCTTTCTGTGCCAAACCTATAAAATTAAGGCATCAGTGTGGTAACAATGAATTCAGCAAGCATAACTATACTGCTGCTCTGGTTATTACCACTTTAATAAGTATTGCTAATGATGCGGAAAACATTTCCACAATTTCTACACTGCATGGTTATGTAATTTTCCAGTTGAATTGAATGACAAAGATATGATACATAAGCTTAGCAAAGCATAGGACATCGCATAAAAATATAGCAATTTGACATCCCTGTGTCATATTGCAATTACTGGAATACTAATTTTTTTTTGCATTTTTTTTAACATGAAGTGGATGTGATTTATCTATATTTTATTATGATCTATTTATTACCATACTATTACTACTCGTATGGGCCACTCTCTGTCCTTGCAAGACAAACGTGTGTGTTAGAAACAGGGGAAGACTGACCATTTGGAAACTTGGGCACTGCCCGAGGGCCCGGGGTTCAGTAGGGGGCCCCATGAGATGCCCCTGGTACCTTTTTCATAGGCTTTTTTGAGTTTTTGCAAGGACACAGGGGCTCCATGATCCCCTATTGCCTGAGGGCCCCATGAGTTGTCAGTCTGCCCCTGGTTAGAAATGTAATTGTCCAACATTAAAATGGAAAGCAAACATTATCCAAAAAAATTTGTGTGAAGAATGAAGATGTGGTGATGGGAGCATCTAAGAAACTCTGCAATGATAATGTTTATGCTTTACAGTATCTAAAGTTTACAGAGCATGAATTCATATAGTGACATATGCCTCCTTTTCAGCTAGGAGGTCTTCCAAACCTGGCACCCATGGATTTCTTACCCACCTCCTTAGGAGGAACAGTTTTACCCAAGACTGATGTGTTTCTGTTTCCAGGCGTAAATGGCTTGGAGGGCATATACTAGAGATAGTTCTCAGTAGCAGTATGTGCTTTACAAGGGGCAGCAGTTCATCCCCACTCTCTGTATGCCTAATGATCATTTGGTGTAGGAAAAAAATGGATTAAGCAGTGTTTTTTCTGGCTCCATTTTTACAAAGCAGTTGCAGAGTATTGTAAATTTTATTCTGATTGTCAAATTAAAGCATCTCAAATATATTTTCTAAGTCTTCTGGTGCCGTTACCTAAAATTTAGGTTCGTTTTCAGAGGGTTGCTATGGATCTGGTCAGCCCATTTTTGATGACTGCTAGGGGGCACCAGCACACTTTGGTAGTTCTTGACTATGCATCCTGGTATCCAGATCCTTTGAGAAACACATCCTTTAATACTATAGTTTAAGAACTGTTCCACATGTCTTCTCTTACCAGTATTCTGTAGGAAATTTTGACAGACCAAGTAACCCCTTTCATGTCAAAGGTTACCAAAGACCTGTGTCTACACTGAGATCTGAGAGAAAATCATTGATCCCATCTAGGTATTCCAGCCCAGAAAGGGAAAGCCAATCCTTATATTGTTTTTAAACCCTAACTCAAGCTTTCTGTCACTTTAAAATAGTTTGTTTGGACCAAATGAACTATTACCTTGACAGATGCACCCACTGAAAGCTCTGTTTTAACAGTATACAGTGCTGCAGTTCCCGGAAGTGGGACAGGGACATCTTGTCTCATTCCCAAAACAAAATGACTCAGGTTATTTTCTGAATACAAAGCTTCCTCTGATTGGCTGAGGTGGAGAGGTGAGTGAGTGATGTCACAATCTCCACTTCAACCAATCAGAGAAAGCCTTTTACTCATTCAGAAAATATAAAGCTTCCTCTGAGTGTCTGAGCAGCAATCAGTCTGACACAATATTTTTCTGGGAGCGAGATAGGAAGATTTTACAATGGCCATCAACTGGAACACCTGTCCCAGTGACAACTAGGAGGTCAACTCTCCTGAATTGGTCAATATTTCCTCACACTTTCTGTTTCAACTTTAGGACAGGAAGTCTCTGGGGAATGGAAAACTCCCAAATCGGATGAAGAAAGCAAAAACTAAACTGATGAGTAATGGAGGCTGAAGTCAAGGCTAGACTTCAACTTTAAACTTGGTAGTTTTGGGTGCTATCACATTATCCCAGAATACTCTCAGAGATAAAAAAAACACATGTGAAAATATTGCACTGGAAGTTTCTTAGATGCTCCCATCACCAAATCTTCATTCTTCACACAAATATTTTTTTTCTTTTCTTTTTTTTTACTTTTTTTTTTTACAAGAGCAATACAGTGTTACCATAGTAACACTGTACTACTTTGAGAAGGTGATGAGTATTTTTTTTTTGCACACTATGATTGCTTATAGGCTCATTCAGTGTGTATAGCTGTGATTGGCCACAGCTAATCACATGGCACAGATGGGCTGTGATTTGCCCTGTCTGTATCATGTGACCAATCACAGCTAGCAACACAATTGCACACAATAAATGGCATGAATAAATGCCATTCATTGTTTACAATTGCCATGTGACCTGCTGTGATTGATCACAGTGATCTCATGGTACCTGCAACGCCCTGCAGGTACCATGAGATTAGTCATTTGCTGTGTCCATTGACAGATCGTGCCGCCATCCAGAACAAAATGGTCAGGCAGGAAGCAGTTAACCAGCTGAGTACACTGATCATGCTACACATGCCAACAAAAACGTTATCAAAGTACCTTAGGAACGATCCCTGATTGAAAGGAAGAAAATTGCTTGATTCTCCCATCAACATATTCAGGGGGGGGAATCCCTCTCACTGTACTGTCTAACAGAGGGAGGTTTCCCTGCTGTCAAAAAAATAATTATTTCTGCTGTTGGTTATACCTGACAGCAGTATTTGTATGAAAAAAACCTGACAGACTGGTTGTACTGATGTCGATCGATAAATTGACTTTAGTACAACCAGCCTGCCAATAGATGGATGAAAATTTGGCCAGTTAAGCAGGAACTGTCTAAGTGTTACTAAACCCAGAACCCTGCATTCACTATCTGGTCTCCCACAGTACACACAAAACACAATTTGAAAATGCAATTATTTTAGTAAATATAAACTGCTAAATACCTTTTCTCATCAGCAGATAGAGCAGTCTTGTGACTTCAGCAGAGCACTAGTTAAAGCATGTAGGAGGAGCTTTCTTTCTGCTCTAGGAGGATGCAGAACCCCTGACCCTCTGTCTGGACAGTGCTAATTGGCCCTGCGGTGATCACATGCACTTTCCCAAGGAAAAAAAACCCCTTTCTATCAATACACACTAAACTGAGCATGTGCATGTGGCTACAGGTTCCGTCTGTCTTATCAGGTGGACATTTGAACAAGAGGAGGGGCAGAGAAGTCAGGATCAAATGGCCTTTTTACACAATGCAGAGGATTAACCCCTTAGGTTCCACAATGAATATAACAAGCATGCTTTACTGCATAAACATACTAATTTTCTGTTGTGGGTTTAGTAACACTTTTAACCACTTGCCCTCCTGAGGATTTACCTTCCTGACCAGGCCATTTTTTTTGCATTATGGCGCTGCATTACTTTACCTGACAATTGCGCCGTCATGCAATGCTGCACCAAAATGAAATTTCTGTCCTTTTTTCTCACGAATTGAGCTTTCTTTTGGTGGTATTTGATTGCCTGTGCGGTTTTTTATTTTTTGCGCAATAAAAAAAAAGACCGACAATTTTGAGAACAAAACTATATTTTTGACATTTTGCTATTAAACATGTCCAGTAAAATTTTTTAAAAAAATCACATTTCCTCATAAATTTAGACCTAAATGTATTCTGCTACATGTCTTTGGTAAAAAAAAAAACCCAATACATGTAAATTCATTGGTTTACATGAAAGTTATAGCATTTACAAATGGTGGTTTATATACTGGAATTTTTTGTTACTAATAATGGCGGCGATCAGCGACTTATAGCTGGACTGCAGGACTGTGGTGGGCATTCTGACACTGGGGGGAAACTGACTTGCTGTCACTGACATCCCCAGTGACATCCCCAGTGACACCAATACAGGGATCAGTGCTAAAAAAAAAGCACTGACACTGTACTAATGGCACTGGTCAGGAAAGGGTTAACTGTGTGCAGGAAGTGTTTTACTGGGGGGGGTGGTGTGTTGGTGCTTCACTGTAAGGACACTACTCTGGGTGGCTGTGCTGTGCACAGCCATCCAGAGCACTGTGCCTGAGCTGACAGGGAGGAGGACTGTTAGTAAACAAAGCAGTCCTCCTCCCCCTCGGAGATCCTCAGTAATCACCAGGCGTCAGCGGGTAATTACTGGCTGGGACCCAGGGATTGACAGCCATGGACTCGAATGGCCCCCTACCGGGAAATGCAAAATCATGTTTATGTACAGGATTTTGCGCACACCCCTGCCACCCTGTAGCAGTATTTCTGCTATAAGGCAGAGGGATGTGGTTAAATACCTGCTGCTGTAAAAAAAAATGCCTCATACAGGGGTTTATTTACTAAGGCTGGAGAGTGCAAAATCAGACGCACTTCTGCGTAAAAACCAATCAGCTTCCAGGTTTTATTGCCACAGCTTAATTGAACAAGTTGAGGTTAGAAGCTGATTTGTTTCTATGTAGAAGTGAGCCTGATTTTGGACTCTCCAGCTTTAGTGAATAAACCCCACAGTGTTTATTTACACCATTCATAAGTTAAATAGAGAGATACAAAGTTGTTACTTTTGTACCTACATATATATATATATATATATATATAATATATACAGTATGTATATATTTGTATTAAACCCTTATTAACCCTTGGTTTACCCTAATCAGCCCTAATTACATTTTTCTTCCTCTTCTCCCTTTATTTCCATCTTGTTAACCATTAATATTTCAGCTTCTTTCATTTTTTTTGTTTTGTCACTTATTTTATTTATTTTTTAGTGTTAGTGTTTATTGTTTAGTGAAATTTTTAAAAAGGAAACCTGTTTATTTCTTTTGGAAATAACTTTACAATGCTTTGTGCCAGAAACATAATTATAGTGTCATTTTAAATAGGACAAATTATAGAATGCAAATGTATACTTTTTATCTACAGCGACACTTTTTTGAAAATGTTGGTGAAAATGTGCATTTTTTCTTTCTGGTCCAAGGATTGATAAAAACAAAAAAATAATTTTTATAAGATATTATCATAACAGAAAAACAATATGGCCCCTTTCGAATGGGACAGGATCCACTAGGAATCCACTTGCTCAGCAGGGGATCTGTCCGTTGATCCCTGCTGAGCAGGCAGACACCTGGCTCCTCTCTGCTCTGCTTATGCAGAGCGGACACAGACATAGTCCTCTCTCCTCTATGGGCGGTTGGATGCTTGCTGACATCTGATGACCATCTGATTCGATCCGCTAGATAAAAGGGGAACAGATCTCCTGATTCACTACCATGCACAGCTGCACCAGATTTTGAGTGCACCAGTTTTAGTAAATCTCCTCCTATTTTTTTAAAGTGTAATTAAACTATTACTATTATTTTAAAGTGGAATGAAACTCACCAATTTAACTAATTCCCAGAAGAAAGCGCAAGTTAAAAATTCTAACTAAACATACCAATGTTTTCTGCAGTGATTGAATTTACATTTTGCTTACTAGCACATGCACAGTGTAGGCTACATTGAAAGTATGCCTCTGGTGATAACTGTCAGCAGTGGTGTATTTTGGTTGTGTGCCACCCTAGGCAAGAGTAAAATTGTGCCCCCCTCCCCATGTTGGGGGTGGGAGGAGTTGGGGAGAGAGAGAGAGAGATTCCAGCGCTCACCTGCCAGACACTCTGGGAGCCATGATCAGGAAAGCCCAATATCTTCCTTCTGCGCTGATCTCTGACAATGATCCAGGAGCGAGAGTTGGAGACCCTTCAGCAACCTGCACTGCTGCGCCTCACCTGCTCCCCATCCTCAGTCACCAGCTGCCACGTGTGTCACTTCTGCCAGGCGAAGGTACCTGCCCCCCCTGAAAAATGACACCCTAGGCCAATGCCTTGTGGTAAATATGCCCCTTACTGTCAGAGCTCCCAGTGTGCTTATGTCAGCTCTTAACCAAACTTTAAGCCCTAAAATGGGCGGTGTCATAGCTGATCATATCTGCCAGTAGGAAGATACCTACAAAATGTTCCTTTTTTATTTTATGTATGAGTATTACATATTCTGTTTGCACTTAATGACTATGTGTCTTGTTCTATGCATTTGTGGTAAGTAGAGGGTTAACTCCTGAGTATTTCTCTCTCCCTGGTGTTCATGGCTCTGCCTTCTTTGAAACATTAGAGTATAGACTGTCCCACAGGGCAGGGAACCAGAGTATACAGAATTTCAGTTATTATTGTGCAGCCAGAGAATTGTGTATTATTTCTGTAGAAACTTGCTTTTATCCAGCCCTTGGGCCATTATTCCTACCACTGTCAGCAACAGTGGGACAAAGTTCCTGACACTGACAATGGGGCACTATTTCTCCCACTGACACCAATGATGGGGCACATTTCCTCCCACTGATACCAATGATAAGGCAATATTCTTACCACTGACAGCAATGATGGGTCACTATTCCTTCCACTGACACCAAAGATGGGGCACCTTTCCTCCCACTGACACTAATGCTATGGCAATATTCCTCCCACTGACACCAAAGATAGGGCATTATTCCTCCCACTGACACCAGTGATGGGGCACTATTTCTTCCACTGACACCAAAGATGGGACACTATTTCTCCCCCTAATACCAAAGATGGGACAGTTTTTACTCCCACATACACTATTTTCTACTTTTTCTGGCCACAGTCCGGCCCTCCTAAAGTTTAAAGGACAGTAAACAAGCCCTTTTTTTTTTTAGAAAGTTTGAAGATCCTTGCTGGGGCAGATGGGTTTATGCTACTGTAATTTTTACAACATGCGGAGAAGTCTGCAGGAGTAAAAGTTTCACTTAAAACAAGCTATTTGCCTGGTCTGAGTCATAAAAGATTATATACAAAGGGGTGTAATGATGGTGTATTTTTATAAAACTAGGAATGAAGTCATATCTAACCCTTCAGGTTGATATAGAGAAACCCTGTGCTGCGAGAAACATGTTCAAGATAATCAGTAGGGTTATGTGATTGTTCAGATGACTTTCCATGCAGCCTTTATATATGTATATTACTTATAATACTCTCCCAAAATTCTTGCAGTCCATTGGTGGGATTAGGAGAAGCACACCAGGATGCTGATCATAGTGCAGGCAGACTTTTGTCAGTACCTAAAATGGGGAGTCATGTTATTGGCTTCTGGCCTCAATAAATTATGCGCTCGAGATGTGTGCTAAACAAGAGAAGTACTTACGAATTGTGGCCAGCAGTGTGTGAGGTGTAAGACATTGATTAGCCTCTAGCCATATAAGGGTTAACACCCGCACTGAATCATTAGAGTTCAAATGTGTTGCATATGAAGAGGAGATCTGCTTTAAATGCTTGAAGTGTTAACAGGTGCCTCTAGGGGGAGATATTCAAGGTTTCCACCTCCCTACAGGCCATGCACCCACACATACCTCAGTCACACCTGGAATGCCCATG